CCCCCGCCCCAAGTTTCTGACATTGTCACTATCTTCGTTGTAAAGATACTAGGCCTAGATCTACATCTCGATCTATGTTGCTTTGCCTTTCATGAACCGGTGCTGTAAAAATCAAGCTTAATCTACCCTTCGCTGTTGAAAGTTCAGATGGCCGAATGAACAGTGTGCCTGCGTTTGAAGACAAATCATTATTTTGTCAGCGTGGCTCGAATCCCAGTCCCGGAAATGGTTTTTTTTCTCTTCTTCTCATCCTCCCAGCTGACCAACAACGTTTCCCATAATTATAATTTGTTGCTTTTAAGTTTTTTAAAGTGGTAAACAAAAAAATAAATCGTCTATGCTGTCTGTTGTTCTCGTAATCATAACACATTGGGCTAAAAATAGGTTGAGCAGGTTTGACGTCGGTGGACGTGGATCTTTTTGAGTCGGTTCTACAACATGCAAAAACTTCGTACATTAGCCTGGCCTGGAAGTGATCTTATTTTGGTGGACGCGTAGCCTAAAGCAACGATTCTCAAAGAATGTGTCTCCACTACGGTTTCGAGAATATCTGTCCCTCCCAATCTATCTAAAATCTGCTGGGGTTTTGGTTTTGGTTTACGATCAACGACCTCGTAATAATGTTACTATAAAGATAGAGATTTACTACTTCCATATTGTATTTCTCAGTATCCTTTACCTAGATCATAGGGAGTACAAGAAAAACAACACCATCATTATATCCATACAGTCTTTGCGGATGTAAAGCAAGTACACCCCCCCCCCTTTCCCATTCTCAAATTGTTGCTGAAAATAGATAAATAAATTATTGAAAGTGCGGTGACATTTAGAGAAGATCAACAGGTCACTCCTAATAAAATCGTAGATACTCACAGACATGCCATTTTATTTATGGCATCTAGGATACTTCAAAGGAAGAGGTGAACACTATTTTCAGATTAATGAAATGAGCAGTGAACGAACCTGCTAATTTTATTATAATAATATTCATTTTTTCCTAAACCAATTAATGCGTCAAAGTATTGATTTCAATGATTTATTTGGATTCTCTTTTGCAGACAGAGATGCTAGAGATGTTAGACGCGCTATCAATGTAATTATATTTTTGTTTGTTTGTTTTGTTAATGTTGTTGTTGTTGTTGTTGTTGTTTATAAGTTTGATATATTCAAAGTTACGAAATCATTTGACTTTTAAAAGTTGGAATTAATTAAAGAAAAAAAATAGTGTTAGAAATTATTTTTTTTAATTTGATGTCGAAAGAAATGAAACCAAACTTGAAGTCCCAAAACCCGCTGAACACATTGTTTAAAGACACATTGCCTAATCCGTCAACATTTCAGTGACATCCACAAGTAAATCTTTAAAAGAAAACAATAATACGGCGTTGTTTTGATTCTAAAACTGTAATGTTGGAAGATACCAAAACAAGACAGAAAAAGACACTCTAAGTTGAACTCCTCATCTGTATCAATTATCTATTCCAACTGAAAGATGAACTTTCTCAAAATATGTAGTACCCAAATTGGCCAAAATTGGGCATAACCACCGCCCCCTACCTTCCACCACACCAAAAAAATAATATAAAAGAAACCGCACACATACGCTCCCCCCCCCCAACACACACACTCACTCT